GTGTGAGGTCTGCTCTGGGTGTGGGGGCTGGTCTGGGTGTGAGGTCCACTCTGGGTGTGAGGTCCGCTCTGGGTGTGACGTCTGGTCTGGGTGTGAGGTCTGCTCTGGGTGTGACGTCTTGTCTGGGTGTGAGGTCTGCTCTGGGTGTGAGGTCCGCTCTGGGAGTGAGGTCCGCTCTGGGTGTGAGGTCTGCTCTGGGTGTGACGTCTGGTCTGGGTGTGAGGTCCACTCTGGGTGTGAGGTCTGCTCTGGGTATGAGGTCCACTCTGGGTGTGAGGTCCGCTCTGGGTGTGAGGTCTGCTCTGGGTGTGACGTCTGGTCTGGGTGTGAGGTCCACTCTGGGTGTGAGGTCTGCTCTGGGTATGAGGTCCACTCTGGGTGTGAGGTCTGCTCTGGGTGTGACGCCTGGTCTGGGTGTGAGGTCCACTCTGGGTGTGAGGTCTGCTCTGGGTATGAGGTCCACTCTGGGTGTGAGGTCCGCTCTGGGTGTGAGGTCTGCTCTGGGTGTGACGTCTGGTCTGGGTGTGAGGTCCACTCTGGGTGTGAGGTCTGCTCTGGGTGTGACGCCTGGTCTGGGTGTGAGGTCCACTCTGGGTGTGAGGTCCGCTCTGGGTGTGAGGTCTGGTCTGGGTGTGAGGTCCGCTCTGGGTGTGAGGTCCGCTGACAGTAAGCACACATATGCCTACATATATAGGTTGTAATGGGTGCTGAGCCGGCCCACTTCTAAACATGTCTGTACTGTAAACAAGCTACTTACTCTTAACAGCTAGCTGGTCTGACCTGTGGGTTCATTTACGGTCCATTATTGTAAAGCCTATTGTGTAGTGTGATGAAAGAGGTACCGTAATCACATACACAGAGGCAGAGAGAGTGTGGCCAACACTGGTAATGTATACAGAAGAGTGACACAGCAGGCTATGTGAAATACAGTCTCTTTAATGGACTGCTCATTTACAAGGCCAGGTGGGCAGTGTGCTAAAACATCATACACATGTAATTGGTGTACAGATTCATCTCAATCCTGCAGAATGAATAAAATCAAAGTGCAAAAAACAACCCCTCGATGCGTGTGCGTGTGTGTTCTTTCTACAGAACATACCCTGGTTATATGTCACTTATAAAGAACATAGTCAGGAAACGAGAGTTTGGGGTTTGGGTGTTATTCAAAACAGCTGTGATTTGGCCTATGGTTTAGACAGACGCAGGGCTATAATCGTCTGATATGGAGAAAGTGAGAAAGAAGCAATACAGACACTGAATCCTCAAAGCTTTAAAGTCCATTCTGCGTAGGTGAAGATTGGGCTCAAGTTCCCCGACTCGTGCCGTGAGCCCACAAACACTTAACAATGAGAAGTACTATTGAACTTAGTTTTATCAGTGATTTGGATTTATTCCCAAAAAATGTATCTCTAAAAGTATTGTTTACGGTCATATTGACGTGATTCGTTTGTTTGTCCTAAACCCAATCGGCTAAACTTTTGAACCGCGCTCGTCTGGGGATTTACTTTACCCTCACTGAATATATATTCTAATTTATTTCTCCTGAGGAATAGAACGTTCTGGGCTGTGTAATATCTGACTCTGGGCTTGGAATTCAGCAGTTTCGTGTTACCGTGGCATAGCTTTTCTCCAATGGTCAAATCTAGTCACAAACTGATCATGGTTGCGTGGTTAAAAGCCTTTACACATGCGGGCGGAACTTAATTGATCAGAGTTAGATTTGGAATGGGATGACTATTTGAAACAATGACATTATGTAAACAGGAAGGGTTAAATATCTCAAAGCCAGTTAGGAGAGGACACACATATAAAGCAGAGTCGAATAAAGTGTGCTATAATTACTAATACCATCAATTTCAGCTCTTTTAACTCTCTATTCCATATCACATCAGGGCACGGTTTTGTGTTACTACTGGAGCTTGTCGAAGACAGCAAGGATCATTGTTAACCACAGGTGATACCTTCCTTGTTCTGCCTAACCTCTTATCTCCTTCACCACACGCCAACACACTGAACTACATGTCACTCCAACACACTGAACTACAAGTCACTCCATCACACTGAACTCCTTGTCACTCCAACACACTGAACTACATGTCACTCCAACACACTGAACTACATGTCACTCCAACACACTGAACTACAAGTCACTCCATCACACTGAACTCCTTGTCACTCCAACACACTGAACTCCTTGTCACTCCAACACACTGAACTCCATGTCACTCCAACACACTGAAATCCTTGTCACTCCAACACACTGAACTCCTTGTCACTCCAACACACTAAACTCCAGGTCACTCCAACACACTGAACTCCACGTCACTCCAACACACTGAACTCCTTGTCACTCCAACACACTAAACTCCAGGTCACTCCAACACACTGAACTCCACGTCACTCCAACACACTGAACTCCACGTCACTCCAACACACTGAACTCCTTGTCACTCCAACACACTGAACTCCATGTCACTCCAACACACTGAACTCCAGGTCACTCCAACACATTGAACTCCACGTCACTTCAACACACTAGTAGAGAACATGTCATGTATTCACAATATAAACTAGAAGATAATATTTTTATTCCAGCGTTGTTGGTAAATGAGTGGTTTGACACCAGTGAGATCTGATATATTTTTGCCTCTAAGGGGATTTGTATGGCAGTGATGTCATGACCTAGCTAACCGTGTTTGTGCCCATATATGGGCGGTTGGAGACAGTTGCTGTAGCCGCTCTGACCTGCTGCCTCATTTGCATGCACCGGCCCTCCTGCCTGAGACACGCCTTGACCTTTAGTGACCTTTGTCGGTTAATTAAGAAACATAACACAAACGAACCTGACAGAACGGAGACTAACACACACCCTACTACCCACACACACACACACACACACACACACACACACACACACACACACACACACACACACACACACACACACACACACACACACACACACACACACACACACACACACACACACACACACACACACACACACACACTTCTGTCACGTAATTCTCTAAGACTTTGAACAAGCCTCTCTTAATGATGCTCTGAGCTGGGCTGTTGATGTTTCTTGTCTGGAATAAGAACATTAAATCTCCTGCTTTAAGGTAAATAGTTATTTTGTTTTTCAGTGTCTCGCACTGAGATCTCAAGACTTCTCCCACACCCTGAGGCAAGAGTGTGTGTGTGTGTCACACCTGTCTGTGTGTGTGTACTTGAATTGCTATCAACGTGAGCGGTTTGAGCATGAACATTTTATGAAAGTGAGGACCTTATGGACGGTCTTCACACAAACAAATCAGATTACTGCTAGAAAAAAGAGAGAAAGAGGGAGTCCTATATTAGTTAGAGCCTAATTTGGGAATTAGGGGTTATGTTTAGGGGTTACGGTAGGTTGAGTTTAGTTATTCAGGTTATAGAGGTTAAAAGATTATATATGGGTGGGAGAAAGAGTATGTTTTCCGATTAGGAAGAGAAGACATTGGGAAAATAGATTATTTTCCTCAATTAGCTAGACACTCTAGTAATAAAGCTCTTCTGGTTAGCACGTGTACTGTTAATCTAACATTGATTATGTGAAGGCTTAAATCATTTTATTTTGTTATTAGCGTATATATTTAGCGTATATATGGGTGTGTGTGTGTGTGTGTCACATCTTGTCATTCTTGGTGTGTGTGTGTACCACTTTTTTGTGTTGATTGTGAAATTATCTGAGTTGTAATCTGAGCAGATTATCACACAACATTCACAGCGGTTCGGAGGATTGCACAATCAAATGTACCTTCTCACAGGCTAAGCGGAAAAACACCTCACACAACGAGATCAGTGGAGATGTTAACAGGCCAATGTTTGACACATGAAAGAAGCTGACCTACACATTTACTCCTGTGCTGAACTCAAGACACCGTTTTTATACTTCTCTAAAATTCTTCAAAGGTCCTTGACAGACAGAAACAGAGAGACGTAAATGGAGAGATAGACAAAGAGAGACTTGCTTTGGCCATGTGACCGACGTTTTACCTTTCTAATAGAGTATAAAAATAATAGGGAGACAGTACGTGACAGAGAGGCAAGGAAATAGAGAAAGTGATGAAGATGGGAGCTTAAATGAAAGGTTTATGAATAATAAGAGTGACAGAATTAAGGGGCACTTGGTGCCTGTGTCTGTTTGTCTCAGTAGCAGAACTACCCTGAAGCTGGGAACGCTGGGAACGCTACAGGTTCTACCACAGCACACACAGACCCTGACCGAAGACTTCAACTTGACATGGAAACACTGGGCCAAATGCTAATCTGTGTGTGTCTCACCTCTTCCAGACAGTGTTTCGTTTGTTCTTTCATTTTTCCATTGACTGAAGTCTAGACTGATCTAGACAGATGGCAAAGACCGGGGTTTTTATCCTCGCAACATTTCGGTAAACACTCAGACGCGACGCAAAGCACTCAGAAGAGCCTCAGGCCAGAGCAATCAATCAGCGAGAAAACAACCCTGAGATCAGGCAGTTGGTTTCTGCTCCATAAAAGCGCCCCTAGAACAACAACAGTGTCTGAATGCCTGGAAAAATAATAATACTCTCACTGTTCTATCTCTTTCCTGTCATAAAACGGTGTAATGTACTGTATATCACATACTGCCAGATCCCAAAGGCACAAACTAAATCTAATCTGAATACAAAACCCCACTGTACACCAGGAACACAGCTTTTATTTCATCAATAACAGCAACCACCATTTCCCAAAGCAGCTACAAACCAATCTGGTTCTTTGCTAGAATCCAAATGACTTTGCAACTCTCCAACCTGGTGATATTATCATTCATGTAAGGACCAAAACAACACCCCCCGTTTAGACATTAGCCTTCCTAGATGTTACACAGCCTAGATCCCTGGTTAATAGGGCACCCTAACAAGGTCAATATATCCAAAGCACAGGGCTATTTTTTTAACCAAGTAGGCCGATTGAGAACAACTTGCAACAGCGATCTGGGGAGCAGCTGGGATTTGAACCCAGGACGTCATACACACAAAGCAGGCGCTCAACCACTGAGCCTCCAACTGCTCCAAGTTACTTAAACAAGTTAACAATAAATTACGTGTTTCACTGGCCTGGCAACGTAGATTTGTTCTGGTCAAACTCTACCTTTACTTATATAGACGTCTCTGGACTTCTCAGCAGTGAATATTGATTTGCCCACATATTCTAACCACTTGCATTGGTCCGAGAAACGAATGTTTAGGCACAGATCCACAACAGTGTTATACAAAATTATAATATTATAACTCGGGCATGCAATTTGGGAATTATTGAATCTGGGTACCCCCCTCAAGCATCACAGAGCATCCTAGCGTTATTTTTACTGGTAGTTAGACTAGCCGGCTATCTAAATCTGTAGTCACCATACCAGTATACTTACCAGCATGTTGGAAACGTGTCCATGGGCATTGCTAGTAATTTTCACTCAGATATCACCACAATTTGGATAACATGGAGATTGTATGAAAATAGCTTCAAATCGGCATGAATATTTGTTCTGCCTGTGGCCAAACAGACACATTTTCGCTCCAGCTTGAAAAAGATGGCAAACAATAAAAACACCTAAAAACCTTTCTCCTCTGCCATCACTTAGGGATCACACAAATGTTTTGCATCAAGATGGTGTCCCCTGAAACTAATCTTGCTTTGAGCCCCCAAAAGACACTTGAACCTGGCTCTGTTTAACTGTCGGACTGATTTTCGCTATGTTTATTTGTTGAGAGAAAGGGGGAGAGGGGGGGGTTAGAAAAAGACGGAAACAAAGAAATGAAAAAGATATCTGACTCACAGTAGTCTCTGAGGTCAGTCTAAATCACTCTCTGGTTTGAGACATTCTACATTATCACAGCAAACACTTGGGATCCAGCCAATATAGACTGCTGCATTGTCCTCTGCTATAGAAATAACAGTACAGCGTTGCTCTCCGTCTCACTCACACACACACACACACACACACACACACACACACACACACACACACACACACACACACACACACACACACGCGCACACACACACACACACACACACACACACACACACACACACACACACACACACACACACACACACACACACACACACACAGTTACCCGGCTGTTATCTGGTGAGAGGATAGAGAGTACAGTTTATTGTTCCCTTAGTGGCGGTGCTGTGTTACTGGTTTACATAAGGGTATTAAACAGAGCCCAGCTCTATCTATCGGTCTCAGACAGCCACGCAGATTTGTGTCGCCGCCGTTATTTCCAAAGAGGATTGGGATCCAGAGGCAAACGAGGGGACAGACAGCCTTCCGATATCACAATCTGTCTCTTCTTCTGCCTTCTTTAAAATCCTCTGTGTATATTGTGTCTCTGTGTACCTCGGGCCCTTCTGGGGTCTCTTCTGGGGGCCCTTCTGGGGTCTCTTCTGGGGGCCCTTCTGGGGGCCCTTCTGGGGTCTCTTCTGGGTGCCCTTCTGGGGGCCCTTCTGGGGTCTCTTCTGGGGTCCTTTCTGGGGGCCCTTCTGGGGGCCCTTCTGGGGTCTCTTCTGGGGGCCCTTCTGGGGGCCCTTCTGGGGGTCCTTCTGGGGTCTCTTCTGGGGGCTCTTCTGGGGGCCCTTCTGGGGGCCCTTCTGGGTGGGAGGTGAAGGATCAGAAGAGTCCTGTGGTCTCCTCTGGGATTGTGAGTCACGAGAGAGGAGCAGCGAAACAGAAATGGGCCATTTCTTTTGGCTTCGTAACGGTGTCCCTGACACAGTAAATATATACGTTGGTTATACACACACACACACACACACACACACACACACACACACACACACACACACACACACACACACACACACACACACACACACACACACACACACACACACACACACACACACCCTGAGTCAGTGAATAACAATGAGCGGAACTCCCGCTCTTCCTGTCAGTGAAAGAATCCAGTCTAGTCATGGCAGAGGATCAATCAATACCAGCATCCATCATCTTTATTCCAGGATGATCTATCAGCACACAGCTTTTACACCGATCCTCTGTTTGTTTAGCACAGTGATTCTCAGAGAACCAATCCATATAGGTATTTGTCACAGACGGGCGCGTTCTGCAGCCGGCTTTGCTTTCTTTTTAATAGCATTTTCTTTAATAGTCAATCGCAGACTTAGTCAATTATCTGAACGGAGGACTAATTACAACAAGACCCGGTTAATTCGGTAGCCAATTGAGGGGCTAGTTCGCTAGCCAACCACAGAGCTAGTTGTAAATGAGTTCAGTAGGGCCAAAGGGGAGTATTGGTTGCGATAGCGTCACAACCTCCACTCAAGCCCCAGCCCCCCCTACACTCACTAAATAAACTGTCTCACATATTATATAGTGTCCTCATAAAGCCTCTACCATCAAACTGTTACAGCTCCACCGCCACGGTCCACTGCACCAACAGAACCAACAAATCACCACGACTGCCACCACACACACACTGTGTGTAGTGTGTCATGTGTGTCGTGTGTGTCGTGTGTGTTGTGTGTGATGTAGTGATAAGTGCAGTGCACTTGGCTGTGTTTTCCGGTATGATAATATACTATATCTTGCTTGGTTGCTATTTATATTGACCCATCTAAACCTTTTCTCTCTCTCTCTCTCTCTCTCTCTCTCTCTCTCTCTCTCTCTCTCTCTCTACCCCCTCCAACCTGTCTCTCGATCTCTCCAGCTCTCTCTCTTCTCTCTCTCTACCCCCCTCCCTGTCTCTCTGGTCGTGCTACATGTCTAGTCGTGCTACATGTCTGGTCGTGCTACATGTCTGGTCGTGCTACATGTCTGATCGTGCTACATGTCTGGTCGTGCTAGATGTCTGGTCGTGCTACATGTCTGGTCGTGCTACATGTCTGACTGGGATACATGTCTGACTGGGATACATGTCTGACTGGGATACATGTCTGATTGGGATACATGTCTGATTGGGATACATGTCAGACAGTCTACTACATGATCATTACTAACCACAGGCATCTTCCCACTGCCAGAAGCATCACTGCCATTAAAGTAAAGCTCCTTAATAATCTCTGGGTCGCTACATCAGTCAGACACATGTTGTACATTAACATTATATTAACATACACAGGTTTTGTGGAGTTTAAACATCCCACTGTCATTGACTGAATGTACAATATCTCCATGTCTCGTGTTCACCATGTGAGACGTGTCAGTGAATAAAATGTCTATTAGAACTAGTCATATAAAAATGACTTAATTTAAAGCCTAATAATAGCAGTGGTAAAAAAATAATTCAAATAGGAGGTGATGTGGTCATTCACCACTTGAACATAACTGAAACATTATAGAAGAAAAATAACGATGATGACAAAAATAATTTGTTTCGCTTTTCCACTTCTATCCTAATGTTTTTACTTCATTCATTTTTTAAGAGAGACTATTGTCTTTCCAGTACACAGACTAACCAAAACCCCTGGTTTTCTTTCTTAACTATGGTGGTTGTGAAACAGCTAACGTTGGCCTTCTTCAGACCCCCAGAGTGAATCATTGATTTGCAGGTGCTTTGCTGATTTCTGTGTTTTAATTGTAATAAAGTAGAGGCATTGGTGAGTTGGCGTCTATCAATAGTCCATTCTGTAGTTAAACCCTGTCCCCTTTGGTCCCACAAATACACCTATAGCCTATATCAGATACTGATTTGGTAATACACCTATAGCCTATATCAGATACTGATTTGGTAATACACCTATAGCCTATATCAGATACTGATCTGGTAATACACCTATAGCCTATATCAGATACTGATCTGGTAATACACCTATAGCCTATATCAGATACTGATCTGGTAATACACCTATAGCCTATATCAGATACTGATCTGGTAATATACCTATAGCCTATATCAGATACTGATCTGGTAATACAATCTCCTATATCAGATACTGATCTGGTAATACACCTATAGCCTATATCAGATACTGATTTGGTAATACACCTATAGCCTATATCAGATACTGATCTGGTAATACACCTATAGCCTATATCAGATACTGATCTGGTAATACAATCTCCTATATCAGATACTGATCTGGTAATACACCTATAGCCTATATCAGATACTGATCTGGTAATACACCTATAGCCTATATCAGATACTGATCTGGTAATACAATCTCCTATCTCAGATACTGATCTGGTAATAAACTGTTAAATTCATGCTCCTTTTGTGTGTGTATGTTTTAGGAAAACATGGATCTAAACATATCTCTACATAAAGTACAGTTTAAGTGTAATGATTAAAATAAAATGTCTTCTCTTCCAGCAGGACAGCCACTCTTATAGTGAGAGAGACTGATGAGTGAAGAGCACATTCTCCCACTGGTTTAATTAGATGGGAAACAGACTAGAGGCAAAGCTGCTGTTTCCACAGGACCACAGCTGGACTGGACATATGTAGCAGGAAGAAGACAGGTGAAACAACTGAGCGTCAGAAAGAGTGAGACTAGCTTTGTGTTTGCGTGTAGGTGTGTGTGTGTGTGTGTGTGTGAGAGAAATAGTTTGCACAAGCATGTATATGCATACTGCCACAGCTGTCTTCAGCAGCTGGATTCACACTGTTAGTCAATCAGTCAGTGTGTTGTTTCTGAGAGATGACTGTGAATAGAGAACAAAAGAAGGAGAGAAGGAGAGAAAGAGAGAAAGAGAGAGAGAGAGAGAGAGCGAGACAGCAAGTGAACCAGAGGGAGAACCGGCTAGAGAAACGCTCTTTTGTACTTACAGCCCTATATCATTGATGCACTTCCCAACGTATTTGGGAGAGATGGAGATCTGTATGAGCTTCTCTCTAAGGCCTCTGGGTTGCTCCAACCAGGTAGTCATGTGTGTCAGTGCGTCTGATGATTTCAGGTATGTAGGCACCAGCGCTGCTTGAGTTAAAAATACCAGGATACCAGGAGATCCTTGCTGGCATTGTGTGAGGCTCAAAGGTACCAGTGTTCAGACTGTAGTGGTCAGACTGTGGTGGTCAGACTGTGGTGGTCAGACTTTGGTGGTCGGA